TTCAATAATTGAATTTTCCGAGACATCTTCAATTACATCAACATTCTCGACAAAACCATTTTCCTCCTCTTGCTCGAGATCTTTGAAATTTGTTTTCCTTAGTCCTTAGATATGAGCATTTTCCGGACTTTTCTCAAACGGAAAACTTTCTTAATCAAACTTAACATCACGTGCAGTAAAAACTCGCTGTTTTTCTATATCCCACAATCTATAGGTACCCATTAGGAGCATAGCCATTCATAACTGATTCCCTGCATTTTGGAGTTTTCTTCTCAGCTGATCAGGAATCCAAGAAAATGCTTTGCACTCAAACACCCTCACCTTATTTAAATCTGGTGACTGGTTATACCACTTTTCAGCCGGTGTCTTGTTGTCATTCAGTGCAGCAGTAGGACTTCGGTTGATCAAATTTACTCCAGTTAAAGCAGCTTCACCCCTCAGTCTTTTCGACATCTGGGATTCCATCAACATATTATCGTTACTAATATGCCCCAAACGTTTATGCCACAAATCAAATTTACTATTAGTACTCTCAAAAGCGCTACTGCTCACTAAATCAATTTCCAATTCATAGAATTCACTATATACGCAGTCGCAGTCCATTTTTCAAAATTATCGCCTCACTCTTCTCAAATACCACATTTAAACCTACTTTAGTCCATTTTCTAACCGACAGTAAATTATCACGTAGATCTGGAACATACAGTACATCCCGCATACAAACTTCAATGCCCTTATTTCTTATTCCATTTACTTCTCCGGAGTACGTGGAGATCAGTGTTTCATTTTCCTTTGCAATACATAATTGTGATTGGTTTCCTCAGCTGTTTCATATTGGCGAAGTACCACTTCTCATTTGCCAAGTGATCACTCGCTCCTGAATCTAACTTAAATACAATGGTGCGGTTTCTAATCTCCACAAATTCTTGATTTGAATCGGCCATGAAACAAACGCTGTTAGAGTAATTACCACTAGTAGCACTCCTCGCTTCAGCTCTCCGCAATCTGTGGAGGATCTGTGGAAGCGTGCTGGGCCCATAACCTATTATATTTGATCCAAATTCCAATGAGATCCTATAGAATTGAATACGAAGGAAGAATATTTTATTTGACTTCAAATTAGAACTTGACAATTATCTCAATTATTTTATTCAAACCGATTGCTCTGATCTTAATACCTTAAGGGTTGCTCAACAAGGAAGTCCAAGCTTAAATGGGCACTAGAAGCTGATGTTGCTTTCAATTATCGTGTGGTTGATTAGTTTTTGTTATGTTGCATTTTCGAAATCTACTTGAAAATCTACGTCATTTGATACCACATTTTCCTATACCTAGCATCAAAGGTCGAATTTTTGACGGTTGACTGCTTTTCTTTAGCGCCCTGTACCTATGGCTCCGTTGACTTGAATTTCAAAACGTCGTCCAAAATCAACACTCCCGATGTGATGCTGAATTCGAATGATTTAAATTTTTACCGCCCTCCTACTTGAAAACCTTTGATGGCGGGTATAGGGAAATGTGGTATCAAACGACGTACATTTTCACTTCGAAAATGCAATAAAATATGGGTTTTCTATTTAAAATTAGAAGGTCGCTATCCACATTTGCTTAAACCGGAAATGAAATGATCATAAATAATTAAATTAATAACAACAAGCAAATTTCGTTAAGAATCAACAGAACAAAATATTAGACCTAGCAATAGTTTCATCCGATCTCCGGTCAGAAGTTACGCAAATCAGCAGTCCACTCGTGCCTGAAGATATATATCATCCGGCCTTAGCAACCAATTTGGCAATATCAGGAAACGCAATCCCCTTTAAAGTTTCGTCAGGGATTACATACAACTTCAAACGAACCAATTACATGCACTTATACTCTGAAATGATACACACGGATTGGTCCATGTTGTCCAAATTTAAGAATGTAGATGACGCATATGATTATTTCTATGGCATAATCTACTCTATGTTTGATAAATATATTCCAAAAACTCGAATCTGCTCCACTTCAAAATATCCCGCTTGGTACAACAAGGACATAATTCAAAAGATTAAGATGAAAGAAAAATATAGACGCCTCTACCTAAAGCATCGAAGTAATTTCCATAAAGAATTATATATCCAATCACGGTCTCAACTCAACTAAAAGTAATGATAACTGCAGTACACAATGAATTCATTATAAAATCAGAAGCAAACATGGCCAAAGATTCTAGAAGTTTCTGGTCATATGTTAACACACTAAAATCAGTTTCCAGAATATCAGGTTTGATGAATTATCTTGGAGAAGAACTACACAATGCAGATGATATAGTAAATGCTTTTGCAACATACTTTAAGAGCGTGTACGATAAAAATGACTCACTGCCAGTAAAACCATTGTACAACACTTTAGGAAACATATCTATTACCAAAGAAATTGTTTCTCGGCACCTGGGGAAGCTTAAAGCCAAACAAACACGAGGATTGGACTTAATACCGGCTTTTATAATTAAGGATTGTCGAAATGTGCTGGAGGGACCATTAGCGTATCTCTACAATCTAATCCTATCAACTGGCGAGTTTCCTACAATGTGGAAAAGCGTTAAAGTGGTCCCAGTCCATAAATAGCGATATAAGAAAGTATCGACCTATATCAATTATATGCAATTTTTCCAAAATCCTCGAATCCATAATTAGTGAACACATTTTATCCATTGTTCGTAACGAAATATCTTCATGTCAACATGGGTTTATGCCACAGCCCTCAACAACGACAAATTTAATTGGTTTTACGCAATTCATATCAGAAAATTTAGATCAAAGGTTTCAAACAGATGTCATTTACACTGACTTCAGTAAGGCGTTCGATCGATTGAATCACAACATTTTAACTCAAAAGTTAGAGAAATATAATATCCTTAGCAACATATCGCAAGTTATCAGATCATATTTGTATCATAGACTTCAAATTGTGGGTTATAATGGTCACCAGTCCACATCGTATGTAGCAAGCAGTGGGGTACCACAAGGGTCCAACCTAGGGCCAAACACTATTCCTATTGTTTATTAATGACCTACAATCAGTTGTGAAGGGTCCATGTTTACTCTATGCCGACGACTTAAAACTATACAACACTATACATAGTGAGGAAGATTGCCATACTCTCCAAAATGACTTGGATAACGTATCCCAATGGTGTGTTACTAATAAACTTCAATTAAACCTTAAAAAATGTACTTGTATGACTTTTGCACGTGTTGAGGACAAAATAATGTTTAATTACTCAATTAATGGTAATGCATTAAACCGGGTTTCGGTAGTGCGTGATCTTGGAATACAGTTTGATGAAATTTTGTCATTTAATAATCATGTATCGCAATTATCTTCTGAGTGTTCGAAAATAATGGGATTTATAATAAGGAATGGCAAACTACTACAAATTAATACGCTCGTGACTCTTTTTAATGCATATGTGATAAGTAAACTCACCTACGGTAGTGTGGTTTGGAATCCTCAGTTCAAACACTCAATAAATATGTGGGAGAGAGTGCAGAGATGATTTATAAGATATCTACTGTTTCGAGAATCGGGCGTTTATCCGAATAGAACCGTTAGCAATGCGAATCTGCTCAGTGCCTTCAATCTTATTTCAGTGGAAAATCGTCATAATATAGTATCTATAGTTTACTTGAGCAAACTTGTGAATTACCAGATTGATGACCAATATTTCCTGTCTTTGTTACAATTCAATGTACCTAGACTTGCTTCAAGAAGTAATATTACATTTACTTATAAGACATGTAATACAAATCATCATATGAACTCTCCCCTTATCAGACTATGGAGACTGTACAATTCCCTAAATAGCGACATTGATATCTTTAATGATAAAGTAAGCGTTATAAAAAAATTCCTGTATCAAATGTATTCCGCGAACAGTCAATGATAGCTACGTATGGATATAGCAGTGTAATATCTTTGTTACCCAAACACTGCAGATGTCATTTTAATAATGGTAGATAACTGGTAGCTATTATGGCTTTTTCTCAAATAATTATAATTTCTTTCTAGGTACTTGAAATAATATTTTTGTTATAATTGTGTCATTACATAACAGTATGAAGCTAAATTTCAGTGTGAATGGATGCTCTCCTATTTTATGTTACCTTTTTTTTTGTTCTTACATGTTTTAAGTTTAGTATGCATGTATTTACTAGCACGTGCCCACTAGGTAAGATTAATTGTGATGTTGCTCTGTAACTGGCTTTGCTGTTGAGCAATAAATATATATTTACTTATTTATTTATTTATTTATTTATCATGATAATATTTCCTTCGATGAATCATAAAAAACTATGTTGGTGTGCAAACTATGAATGGGAGTCTGAATACTTTTAGATAACGGTTTGCGTGAAACAGCCTGTATACGTACAAGTATTGTTTCCTTGCTAGGAGCAGAGAAGTGGAAAAGAGGCAGAGAAAGTTTATTTGTCTGCCTCCTTTCCGCTTCTCTGCTTCTTTTGATTTCTGTATCTGTGTTGACTAGCCGTTTATGTACAACCAATTCCAGCATCGTAATAAAAAAATTTAGTATTCGCCACGGACGAGTGGGATTCGCTGACACGTCGGAACTTCCGACTTGTCAGCGAAAACTCACTTCTCGTTATAATATACCGCATAATTACTAAAAATATGTTCGAAACTTTATGGTTACCCGGTGTTTATTTTTGCGAGTAATCTGGTTTTGAAGTAGAAAAGGAGAAAAATGTTCAGTAAGTCACCGTAAAATTTATGTTAGGGTAACGGTGAACCAGGTAAAATTTTTGCTAAAATTTTCATTTTTGAAAAGTCGAAATTTAGTTTAAGGAATACCTTATTATGCAAACCCGTTGCTGTAACTCCAAGAGCGAGTTTTCCTGAGGTCAAATAAGTTTAGTTTTGAAGAATTTCCATAACAAAATACAGTTTCCCAGAATCATGCAAGGTCACATAATAATCAAACTTCTACAATATAAGTCGTTTTATCGGTAGTACAGTTCGCAGTGTCATACTATACGGGTTAAAAATGAATTATAATTTATATTGCTTTGCTCTGCTTTTTACTCTTACATGTTTGACATGTATAAAAGCCGTCACTATTAAGCGAAGAGCGAGGTCTGCAGATGATACCATCGTGTTTCCGGATTCTGTGATAAGTAAGTACTGATTGATCGAATTTCGAAATGCACTATTAATGAAATTTTAAGCTGAAAGTCCCATAGAACCAACAACTCCCCCCTTGTTCAACAAGTTTCTTGTGCAAGTTGGCTCAAATTGTGGTATTGGCGAAACTTTCATCGATGGACGATGTAGGAGAAAGTTTGGGAGATTTTGAAAAGCGCATTCGACCTCAAATGGGTCGCGAAAGCATACTGAGTATGTTTTCATTTAAAAAGAGATTAATTATGTTTTAAAATAAAACGAAATCCATAACAGCAATGGACTTTGATTATCACGAAAATATAATCTACTAAAACGTTAAGATCGTAGCACCATAGGAGCTTAAAATTGTTTGTTGATTTTATAAGCTACAATGGTTTATCACCGTATTTTGCTCGACTAGGTATTAGCAATATGAAATCATTAAAACAATCAATTTATTTTAATTGCAAGGTGATTCTTTCCGACCTTTAAAGGTTAGTTTCCCAATATCATTGTTTTGATGCATATGTTTATATACTTTCATCAGCGTTGAAACGTCACCAAACGGCGTATTGGTAACTAAATAATTAATCTGGCAAACACTAATAGGTCACAGTATGATTGTATATTCAATATGAATCACGCGCTGCTCTATCTTCTTACTTGTTTTACGCTCATCACGGCCGTGGCAATAAACCGAAGGGCTAGGTCACCAGATGACGACGACATTGTATTTATGGATCCGGATGCTGGTAAGTGAATGTTAAATGTTTAAAGACTGTATTAATGAAGGTTATAGCGCCTAGGATCATAGAAACGACAACCGACTTTCCGAGTAGGAATATTATAAAATTTGGCCGGAATTGTGGTATTGGGGAAACATTTGCGGACGGAAGGTGCAGAAAAAGGTTCAGACAGTTTCAATAGTCGATGAAAACTGAAAAACGAGAAGAAATGATGTATGAAAATAAAACCGATCAGGCTTATTTGTGTGTTTCTCTGTTTTAGATGAGACAATAAAAATGGTCGTAGATCAAAACAACAAGTAGTAGCATTTAATTTTAAGTGGCTATGGATATTTTAGCTGGACAGGACACTACACGTCTAAATATAAGAATCAAAGTATCTATTACGATCATATTGTGTACTGCCCGTTGAGGTTATCCATGGTTAGTTCCGTGCTTTATTGGAGTTCTCATACCATCATAACTACTAACATTGGAAATGTTTATGTTTTCGTATATGGGTACAATGTTACGAATTTCGTTCAAAGTCTAAACGCAACGGTCATCTCCTTAAAATAATCCGAGGGTCGTAAAGGCTTAGTTTTGGAAGCAATGCTTTCTGATCTGGTAAATGTTTTTCCAAAATTCCTACTCCAAGATGGTGCACGTCTACTTGGGAGTGAGAACAATTCTGATGTCGAGTTTGGTCACAATTTTTGCTACTAAACCGCCTATTTCGATTCATCTATCGGGCGATCAAAAATGAGGGACTGTCGAGTTACCTTTGGAAGTTCGAGTTAAGTACGATTTCCCATGTAAAAAAAATTCCAAACTCATACTACTCATGTTTGATCGCCCTTTACTATGGAGTTTTAGGCGTAAGAAAAGAAAAATGAAATATATTTCGTACGAAAATCCAGAAATAAACACCGCAGGAGAAAAAAAACCTAGGGTAACACACACAAATATAAAAAATAGATTAACTACGAGAACAATACAATAAAAATCAGATATCGAATTAAATGCAGTTAAACAAATTAACAAAAACGTGATATACGTTACAATGTAAAACAAGATAAATCAATTTAGTGCATATCAAACACATCTACGCTTAATTTAGGCAAACAACTCGTAAGATGATAAATTGCATCCATCATCGGCCACCATTCAACACGAAAGGTGCAGATGAGAATGCAAGCAGTAAATATTCAAAGCAAATTCGATTATCACGCACATACCCTCGTACTAAAAAAAAATATAAATAAAAAAAAATAAAAAAGAAAGGTTAATTAGAGGGTTCCACTTCTTGTATTGCTAAGACACAAGAGAAGAAACAACAGATATAGTGCATAGTTTAATGTTATCATTTTGTAGTAGAAAATGGTAAAATTATTTGCCGGCTTACTGTGAGATGCCGTTACCTACATCACTTTTCCGCTACTCTCACTTCACGTTAAACGTAACCAGTCTAACCACATAAAAGAAGGCGCCCGGCTCATTGTAGGAGACTGTTACCTCACCTTGCTTAGCTCAAAATTCCACAAATCAAAACACCCAGAACTTAACCAGATTTCCTGAACCCTGAATTATCCAGAAGCTCATGGCTGGACATGATGCATATCAAGGGCCTGAATTTAAACCTTACTAATCCCTCGTATATCCGCCCTGCAGCTTACGGCCGGTACTTCGTGCCTGACATTTTTACACCGTACATTGTGATGCAAAAAACGATTTTTTTATTGCTATTTAAGTTGCATAACATCAAGGGGTTTGAAGGAATTATAAATTAACTACAACCATGCAACGCACTAGAAAATAATATTCATTATTTTGGCAGCATAGATTAACGCTCACACCTTTACAAAATTATTTACAAAAACCCGAAACAACTCGTGTTTAGTGCTTGAAATAAAGCTAATATTTTTAGCCGCGTACGAACTATCTTGTTGTCCAAGATCGAATGAAGCCCAAAAAATCTCCCCTTGAGGATTCCTACTATCCTTTCTCATTAACTACTAACCACAAAATGGCTTCTTATCCATGAACATCGTCATCTTTACTTGTTGCTTGTTAGGGTAATAAATCTAAATCAAATCCCACTTGTGACCAACATATACGACAACGACGATGCATTTTCTACGATAATGAAATGATCTCCTGCTTCTTCAGTGGTTTAGAGTAGGTAAGGCCAATTATTAAGTTACCCACTTAGGTCTAGTTCACAGCAAGATCTCGTCTTCAGACATCCGAAACCAATTATGACTACAATTATCTACAGAAATTAAAAGATTTAGAAAGCGCAATCTTCAATCACACCAAATGCTTACAGATTTACTCTTGAAATTCCACTAGTCACATGATTTATTGGAAAATCCCTTGTAATCCTATGTATATATTATGTAACCTGCCGTAATCCTTGAAACCTAAAAAAACTGTACCTCTCTCTCTCTCAAATTCACATTTAGAGTTACTGTTACAACATTTACAGGCGTACCCTTGAATATTAATCTTAAGTCGGCAGTGAGTTAAGTTGGTAGCGCAGCATGGGCCACATGACAAAAAAGAAAATACCTTACCTGCAGGTTAACTAGTAATTTATTCTCTGCTTGAATTTGCTCGTAGGTAGTTAGTATATAGGTATTCTTGAAAAATTTTTAACCTTAACCCACTGGTAATTTTTGGGGACGCTATATACTCAGAGACTTGTTATTACGGTCTCTGTATATACCTTTTAAGTGTGCTTACAAAATACCAATTTGGACAAAGCAGGAAAATTAAAGCATAGACACCTACTGGTTGAAATCTATACAGAGTTTATTATTATAGGTCCCTTGACTGTATACCTCTCCGTATAGCTATTTTGTGTAAATATCTCACTTTAAAAAAAAAAGTGCACTTTTTCGTTTTCATGTCTGTCTGTCTGTCTGTCTGTCTGAATCACAAAGGCTCCGGAACTACACCACTTACAGGCTTGGTATTGGTGTCATTCGATCAGAAATTAAAAATTATTTCATGTTTGTATTCTCGTTAAGGCATGAAATGTCCATAAGGGCTATTAAAATCGAAAAATCTAATTGACGAATTTTTAATAATGCCAGTCTTTTGTATGAATGGAACATTTTCTTGAATTAGATTTGCTTATGGTGCATTTTACAGTTTCATTGCAAATGTAGCATCTGCCTTCAGAAAGTACAGTGGTATCTTGTGTTAATTTTCAAATTCAATTTTTGCTGTAACAAAAGGTAATGTACTTAGTTTTACATGTAACTATTCGCTTTACCGTAAATTATGTCGCCTTCAGCTGCCTCTAACTGAGGGGTAGGTGACTCTTCTTGTGGATCGGGAAATCGGTACAAATACAAAAATAACCTCATACAATTAGATTTGTATGTTTCGCATATAGAAGGTCGTTCTTCAGGGAATGGTTTTGATGCTAGAATGAGTTTCATTCTGGCATTATTTTTGGTAACTTTTTTATTGGTACACGATTTTTTGAGGAATTTTTAGTGATGAATTGGAATACTTGGCCCCAATGACATGCTTTCTAACAGCTATAGCGTTCGCCTAAAATAAAACTTAATAATAAAACAAGGAACAAGACAAAAGAAATTAATTTCCCTTATTAATGTAACTAATTCGATTCTACTTTTTCTTTCATTTTGAAAATATGGTGAGAACGCATTTGACGTACAGAAAGGGTTAAATCCAACCGAAAAAAGTAACGCTTGGAGGTTCACCAGGTTTGTCATTCTGGCTTCTATGTTACGATGCACGAAAATATAAAACAGATAATCCATCAATCCCGGGTCCGGGTTTTACCCACCCAGTCGGGGTCTGGGTCGGGGTCCGGGTTTTGCCCAGACCCGGACATTTTCCTTGTAAAAGTTTAAATTGGAAGAGTCCGCCATAATTACTTTTGCAGTTACTACTATGCGATCAAAAATGAGTTGCTGTCGAGTTACCTTTGGAATTTTTGTTTACATGGGAAATCGTATTTAACTTGAACTTCCAACGGCGACTCGACAGCAACTCATTTTTGATCGCCCGTTATTAACTCTTGATTTTGGCGAAGGATATTATACTCATGTGCCTTGAACCCTTGATCCCCTGTAAAAATATGACGTACTTTCTTAGTACTGAAACGGGCCAAGAGGCACACTAAGGCCCTGGTACTACGTGTCATAAAATCAAAAGAACCAACGTACGAGTATATTTGTGTACCACAATCTCTTTTCTATTTTGTTCCAAATTCAATTAGATTGGCGTTATTATGGCAAAAACAAGAATACATTTGTTCCCATTTACTGTTTGTTTCTACGTCAAAAAGGCTTTCTAAGTAAATACTCCAACGAAATGTTCTATGGAATGGCGCAATTCACAGTGTTCTTCTAAGTAAATTAATCAAACTGGTTCAATAAACACGTTCCGTGAAATATAGAAAGCATACGTTGAAATCGGGTCAAATTTAGAATTAAGGTCATCCTAACTAAACAGAATGCAATTCCAATACTGCGATCATATCTGCAAAGTAAAGCAAAAACATTAGTAATTAATTAGTATTTACATCTGAGAAAAGCCTTGCACGTAGTTGAATTATCTGACACTTCTATAAAAAAGAATGACCCAAGCTGGTGTTATCAATACGTCGTTGGTCACCGATCGCATCGCATGTAACGTTCAAAATGGTGCGCAAAGAGGTATTGTTTTTAATTTGCTTGTGGCTCGCGTTTTGCTATGGGTCAACGATCAGAAGACTAGCGTCGTACGACGATGACGATGATGGTGGCGGAATGTTTTTTCCAGATCAACTTATGAATGCGATAGCTTCAAGTACGTATAACCTATAATTATTTGAATAAGTAGTGAATGTATTTTTACCATTAGCAACTGAAGATCCTGAGATTATTGAAAAAAGAATAATTTCCGTTGGCTCTAACTGTGCCCCAAACCAGGATGTGGTTAATGGAAAATGCAGAAGAAAGTTTGGCAAACCTTAGCAAAGTGACCATTATGGTGATAAAAACACAGACTGAAATTTAGTGCTAAGAAATATCATCGAAAGCCGGTACCTACCTACAATACTCGTCTTTGTAGTACCTTAGATTTAAATTAAAATTAAGATAATAATTACAGTTTATATAGTACGAGTAATTACACATTATTTATAAAATATACCTAGTTTTGCTGCAGTTTGGAAAATTTGTGGTGAAAGGTGACCTTCGATGATGCAACTGAGATTCAGTGATTTATTACGTATTTAGATAATTGGATTTTGGACGATTTTATTTCTAAAGGTTTCCACTGAATATTATAGTTTAGTTTTAAAGATAAAATGAAGAATATTCGCTTAGACCAATTGAAAACACTATGAAAGCATTTTTGCTTTGCATGTCCATAGTTTCTAGTTTTGCTACATACAGAGCTGTTTATGTATGTATTGAATTTTTAATTCTTAAGTTGACAATTGAATATTTTACCGCCCTCTGAATTTTGAGCACCTCCTGAAACTTTTTAAATTAAAAAGGGGGAATGTGAAACTTTGTTTGAAAAGAGTTTATTTCTTGGTTCAGCTTTTTGAATTTTATGCAATCGAAACTAAATTATGAAGATGTAAAACTTTGATAATTCCTCCATCACAAAACTTTACGCAGATCAAGCAATTTACTATTTAGTATATTTTGCAATTTAATTTATAATTAAATGAGATATTCAAAATGAAAATATATTTGAACATATTACCCCGCACGCAGGCGGGTGAAAATTAACATAAGAAATCACGGATCTGGTCGTAAAATGTTTGCGATACTAAGCGCACTTAACTTACACACAAATGCTGGCAGTTTCTGAATTTCACTTTCTTGTAACACAGGATTTGATGAAAATCAAAACTGGGGTGATGAATAACCTGGTAAATTTTCGGTAACTGTTCGGACGATAGAAAACTTTTAACTTTTTATAAGAGAAGAACCTTAACGAAAGGGCTCGTTGTGCACTACAACTACTGCCTTTTCAACTCGATAAAACTTCTTCCGTGATCTCTATGAACTTTCCAACATACCGACAATCACAATTCGACTTGAATCACGCCAGTTTCGAGAGCACGCGTATCACGTCCCCACTTACGCCGAAAATATGCATCTTTGTTCAGCACCAGGTTTGTCTTGGTTAAAGCATCTTATCTTAATTGAACAATTTAAAATCCATAAAGTTTAAACGAAAACTACGCAATTTCATACAATTTTAAAAGGAAAAACAAACAATGAGATATAAATTCAAATGAAACGAACTAACTCTGTGCTCAACTCCAAAATAATACTTCAAATTTACTTAATTAATTGAAATGTCTTTCAACCGTCAAACTACTTTAGTAGAGAATCCTATCAAGATTTAATGACCGTTAGGTGCTTTTAATTTACTTCACATCTCCCATTAACATTTTTTTGGGGAGAAAAATTTAAAAACGTAGAATGTCAGGTTCAAGTCATCGACACTTCGGGACTGTGTCGCTTTGAAATTGACTTTTCGAGTTGTAGAGTCCCATAAAAATCCGTTTACGTTTCAAAGCTTTACTCTCAAAAGTTGGCTTTAATCTATTTAAATTTACCTGGCTTTTTAAGGTACTGAAACGTTATACTCCCTTCTTTTAGGAGATTTTAAAGTCTTGCACAATATTAGGTCAATGGTTTTTGAGGTTTTTATTGACACTTCAAGGCTTTCTGAACTTGTAGCCTTTAAAAGTACTTCAATCTAACTAGTCTATTTAGTTTTGTATCGACGCCTTCCCCGTTATTATCCTGCATAAGCAATGACCATTAGCTTTATAAAGGAGGGTTGAGACTATCCGATTACAATACCGATTATGCTGTAAGCATAGCTTAGCATAGAATATGTGGGAGTAATAACCTCACATGCTACCCAGGACTACATGTTCTTTTTCAGACCTAACCGCACGCGATACTGCCGAAATGACCTACGAAATCAAGGTCAAGTATGCATAATCAAAGATAAAAGGTCTTATCAATGACGCCTGGTTCCACAAACCTTGTAACGTTAACACTGAAAGGTATCACCAAAACATATGAACTACGCATTATCTTGACCTTAAGGTCAGCAAATAAATTACATTTCCAATGTCTCGGGTAGATAACGCTAATATAATATAAATAACAAATTTCGAGCTTGAGTGTAGATATTGTACAAAGATGAGACTGGCTCACGTACTTATTGTAACCTTAGTGTTAATATCATGTAAAGTGATATTGGGGAATGAATATTTCCAACAGGCAGACTACCAACCAGGCCACAACGGACACCTCGGCGGATACTACGATAACGGTTGGAATTATGGGTACCAAGATCCCCACTCTGTGAGAAGAAATAGTGGCTACAGGAACGAACAGTACGATAGGTATGGAAATCAAATATATCCCGATAATCGACTGTGGAGACCGAACGGACAGGGACCGCAATGGGGTGGAGCTTTCCCTATGCCATATCAGGAGAGCCCGAAACGTAACGAGCTTTATTATGACAACTTAGGATCAAGGAAGCATGACAGGTCGTTGTTGGAAAATTTGAATAATTATCCTGTGAAAAAGAACTAATCGATGTATATTAGCAATAAATCTCTTGAAATATTATGTACTTATAATTTATTGTTTATGTGTATGGCACATGAACTTTAGAATTTCATAAAGCTGTCATTGTGCAGATTGCGGCAGTACATAAAAGAAGCTGTGCTTTGAAACACGCACTGAAAAAAAACACCAATTAAATAATTCTGAGAAATTAATTAAAATTAACGTTTCTTCATAAGGATATCATGTTACCAAATCGAACAGTTGACGCAGTTTTCATGTCATTTTATCTACCAAGGACGAGTGTTTTTTTTGTGTAACGATTTAACGCAAACAAGACGATGTTCAATAAAATCAGATTACAAAGTGAATCATTTTGCGTTTCAGATACGAAAAATTAGTTTAAAAATTAAATTACGTAGGCGGAAGTAATAATTCCGTTGTATTATGGTTCACGATCAAACGCCGCATTTTTAAGTTAACGCTATACAACGTGTTTTTTTTACATAGTGACGAAATTATCGGACTTTTTTTAACGAAAAATCGTATGGAAAGTGGTACTTTTTCTCACGATTTTTACTATGCGTTTCCATGGAGTTTAGCCCTGTCTATGAACAATAGCATCAATTTTTGAGTGACAGTAAATCGCGAATGTCAATAAAGTTATTCAATTGTGGGTTATTCTGGATCACTATGCAAACAAATTTCGTGTGCAACACGTGTTGAAAGTGTCTTTTTTCCATGAATGTGCTTGATTAACTCGGACTTCGCTCTCATTAATCAAACTGCAAATTCATGAAAAAAAGTAGTATCACTTTCAAAACTAGTTGTGCAAATAGGTAACTATTTTTGTATCAAAAATGCAATTACGTAACTAAGTCTTTGTTTCGTCTTAATAAAACACGTTTTTCTTTCCCACATGCATACTTGCAATAAATTACCAAAACCCCAAGTAATATGTCAAACATAAAGTTGGCTTAGGGTAAGTAAACAAATATTAATTCATATTTCTACTACGAATTCCCAAGGGGGGATTTTCAGAAAACTTCATCGAGCTGGTTTGCTGAATTAAAGGACACAATTTCTTTCTTATGGCTACTCAAACGGGAAACACTTGAAACTTTTGTTGACTAAAACGGTTTCATTATGCACTACAACAGCTTTTTCAAAATCAACTTTTTTACGTAAACCGACGCCAATAACTAGCCATAACAAATTACGCGCGAAAGAAATCGTGCACCTTCATCCTTTGCTATCAGCACCAAATGCACGTTCGCCTTGAAATCGATTAACTTTCGCGATAACAACGCACTGGACCGGATGTTCCTTAATTTTCACACCTTGCAATTTAAATAAACAAAATTACACGAATAATATAAAAAAGAAATTATGCAATTTAAAACCACTCTAAAATGGGAAAATTGATACTAAAATAACAAATTCCGATGAAGTAAACCAATTCTGCGCGTACTCGTACTGAAGTCCTCCAGATTTAAATTTAATTAAAATTTTTGCATATACAGGATGACCCGTTATTATCTTCGGTATTATTATAACCCAAATAACGTCCACCCGACGTTATTTACACAACAATACATATTGGTAGTTGTTATTTCAGAACAGTGCACGAGGTCTATTTCATAAAAAAAAAGACATACAAGTAACAGTTTAGAAGGAGAATATCGAGTCATAAACAGTAGGTTAAGGTTGAGAACTCTCGACTAAGAGAGGGTGGCTATAGAACCATAGTAATCAAATTTTGCATTCTGTTATAATACTGGTATTGGATTGGTTCATGACGTTTGCCATTAGCGAAAAAACTACAGAGCGTGGACATTTCGGTATTACTAAAGTAACAACGGAGGAGGTATAATCCCTGGGGTAGAATTAATTAAAGGAAAGGGAAACAGATTATTCTATATTTAATAGTTTCACAAGTTATAATTATAAACTACTTTCGTTTGGTAGCCGCATGCCTGATTCCACATGAACTGTATTCAAACGATTCTATATAAAGACTGCTTTCTTATGTTATATACAGGTTATTGAACATGAAAGGAACGGATTACTTGTGCAAAACGTATAGAAAGCTTACAGGTCTGAAAGCTTGTTTGATGGCAACTTTGCGAAAAAACTACACGGATTGATATAAGTATAGATTAAAATGAGTCTATTGGCGAAAGATACCACCTTTTTGTGTTTTTTTTTGGGTCAGAAAAATAGTCATCGCATGGATAAATTCCATTATACCTATGTAATCCATTATTCCCATTAGCTTGAGTTCCTTCTTCTGATTGCACCACGTTTCCATGTCGAGTCCTTTTATAGAAAAGTAAAAACTTAATTATCCAAAGTTTAACCCCCTAGCCATATTTCTTAACAATCCTTCATAATTGTTCTTGCAAATCTTGTTAACTGTATATACGAGAATTATTATTTACTATCGATTATTTTCGAGTAGTTTCATAAAATTACACATTTAAGGTACAACGAGTGCACACCATATTATGTGGATGCATATTTTGGCATTTTAAATTGCATACATATCCGGTATGTAGGTACCTAGTATTTGACCGATCTTAATAGCAAAAAAAGAAAACCCTGAAATGGGCTTTTCTATTTCATTAAAAAGTTTTTAACCCACCTCCTTTGGCATATAATGGATTGTCTATCAATAATCGAAATTTTGTATAAATGTCTAAAATTATCTCGGCTTAATGAAAATTCACAATTATTTACATTCGTTGGTTGGCGCTTTTGAATCTTACCAATCCCAAACGGCATTTTGGTTTTCCCACAAACTGCACACTAAAATTCGCCAAATAATTTAGTAAAAACATTTCTTATTTACTTATTTCTAAAAAAAATTGAAAAAATTAAACCGAATCCGAGACCGAGTCTAAAGCACTCTTTACAACCTAAACGGAATTTGGAATAGAAAGCTAAATTCAGGGACAAAATTAGCAACCCTAAGGTTCTTTAATACTGTTTCTGTATTATTATGTATGACCCACCTGATATGACCATTAATTTTGTCTGCAACTGCCCATTCTCATGTAGATATGTAATGTCGTTTTTGTTCGTCGTATTGTAGTCATATTTGGAAACCGGCAAAGTATTTTGACAAAAATTCAGGCAAACTTACAGAAGTACAGAACCGGCCATATTTTTGTACTGTTACTTCAGTTACCATAACATTTAAAAAGAAGCTACGTTTATCATATTAATTGGGTTTAGATTAACTTTTATCCCGAATAAAAATGTTCAAATCTCATTTATATTAAGATCGGCTACAAGTTGCAAAGTTTCCCTAATTATCTCATAAAAGAAAAATCCGAGAACTGTGATTATAAAGTTAGGAGGATTAGAATTTGCATACTCCACCACGTCGAAGAACCATTACAAATCGGATATTGCCGGTTTTGTGCGCTGAGATTATAAGTCTAACGCCTACTTCTTGTGCAAAATTTTGGAAACGTCAGGTGAACGTTTGCTGTTATTGTTATCGCCTGGTAGTTCATGTAACATGTTCAATTGGTAACTAGAGAATACAAATCTTACACGATCAAATGAACAAAAGGGGACAGGCAGAATTACTCTCAAATTAGGTTGCTAATTCACATGCGGTGCATTTTCATTACATTTTGAAAATTGTGCGTATAATAATAATCTTTATTGTTGTTAACACAAAAATTTTTTGTTTACAAACGTCAATTCTGATGAAAAGGATAAAAAACAAGGGACAAAAACATTTAATGACTAACTTACATTGAAATCGGATGAGGACCATTGGCAATTCAAGAATTCGTTAATGTCGTAAAAACTTTGTTTTTTTAAAAATGTCTTAATTTTAGTTTTGAAAGTTTTGGATGGTAGCCTTACTACGTTGCGAGGTAATTTGTTACGATCGTTCGTGACCTTATTCATCAGCATCAAGAAATTCCTCAAATGCATATAAAATGCACCGGTAGTTAATATTCATTATTTGAAAAGGTTGGCTCCTCTTGCCTGCCGAAGTAATAAAAGGCATCAAAATACCCGATCTATTTTTTTTTGTTACAATTTGGCACCTTTTGCGTTCACAGTTTGTGTTCTTTGTACCGAACTCTAGCTTTTTTCTTCAGTATTATTTTTACGCCATTGTGTGTTTCTTCCCTTTCTTTTTGATTTATTCCCAAATATTCGACGGCGTGGGTGAAATGTAGAACATTTTCTTGATTTTTCCAAAATGATTTTGAGAGCTACCCCTGTTTGTCAATCAAAATTTTCATTTACTTGCGTCTTCATCTTACCGTTCCCCTTCAACGTTTTCCTTTTACACGTTACTTCCCCTATATTGCGTGTTCCTATGAATCTCTTCCAATTCTTTTTTTATTTTTTACTCTCCAAAAAAGTACAGAAAAAAGTTCATTGTCACTCAACCATCAATTAATAATATATTGTAAATTGCTTGACCCATATACCCTTTCATTATCCATCTCCTGAAATTATCTGAAAAAAACGACAGTAGTATATTTTTGTGAGTGAGATCTTAATAGCATCTATCGCTATCTCCATGTAATTTGCCTACCCATTTTTACTTTATTTATTGACTTACCAAATATTTAATTATTTAAAGCCCCGAAGCGAACTAAAATAACCTCCTTGTCTTTATTTTGTGTCCTTCTCTTAGCTTTGGCTTCTTCGTTCATCAAAGGTACGGCACCCTACGGAGTGGCGAGTGGCGCCTATAGTTATAAATTATATAATTTCATAAACTCACAGACTTTTGTGGAAACCTTCTCATCTGGTTTTCAAGAGTGGTATTGTATTTCCTATCTACCCTGACGGGTTGGTCGGGGCCGGCGATCCTTTATCCACCACCCAAGGATCCGCAATAGCTGAAAAAGCACAAAAAATTTTTGAAAAGCCGAAAGACTCAATGAAGTTGAGGCATTGTACAAAATTGAGGAAGTCTTGTTGGAACCGAAGGAGTATAGAAAAGAAAGAAATTCCAAACTGGGGAAACGGATAAAGTACATTGATATACATACAAGCACCTTAGGTTTACAGAGAACGCGTAAGAGGCCTGGGGCATGTGGAGGACCCTCATTATTATAAGAGAGACAGCCAACTGAACCCTAGAACTTGCATTTATGCCGGTAGACGAATCAAGTCTGATTTCTGTTTCAGGGATCTCGTAGCTCTAAGACTTCAGCTGAAAGAATTCAGAGGACGGAGCAGGCACCTGGTGCTCTGCTCAGCCTTTCTTCCCTACGACTCTGAAAAGGTTCCACTTATCAGGGAGGTGATAGAAATACTGTCCAAATGGCGAGTTCCTTCTTGTGGTTGGCTGTAATGCTAACGCACACCGTGTTGCGTGGGGCAGACCACCTTCTGGAGTACTTGCCAACAACAAATTTGAATGTTTTAAATCAGGGAGGGACGAAGAGAACAACTTGGTGAATCTCAGATCTTGAAAAGGTTTATAAGTAGGTTCGCAGCCTCTTTAATAGGACCATGCGAACTTACGCCGCCTGAAGACTGGAAAGATCTCATGATCGCTCAGTGCAGGTATAAAGATGATCTTCGAAGCTCTAAACGAGGATCGTGAAGACCTTCTGTGGTAACATGTGAAGTTCAAAACCTCGTAACATCCTTTTGAAAGACCTGGGTTAAAAAGTGGAGATGCAGAGGGCTCCATGCGGCAGATATACGTCTACCGCGGGCGAGGCTCTCACATGCCTCCTAAAAACACACTTTTCCATCAATCAATGTTGTAAATGAAATGCGCTTGCACAATATGAAGGCATTTCCTCAATTTCGCTATTAAACAGATAAATCCTTACGTTTGGTATGAGAAAACTTACCTCGAATAGGTAAGAAACACACTATAACCTTAAAAACTTTCAAACAACACGTGATGTTCCAGGATTGAAATTTGAAGGTGTATCAAGCCTGCCCACGTATCAAATCTCTCTAATCTCCCGTATAGTTTTATAGGTTTTGGGTAGTTTTTACCCATAAAAAAGTGAACAGCGCCCATCGGCATGATATAAATTTTGAAAACGAGGGTAAGATGATCTTGATCCCAAATCTTAATGTAACTCGATGTATTTTGAAAAAAATGCTAGGTTTTGTACTATTTTAAGCTTCGTTTCCTGAATTGATTAGCCAATTGAGGCGTGTTAATGGCAGTTCCAACATGGATACCTAAGTGACTATTAGTGAAATTCGTGCTCGTATAATATAAATTTATATTACAAATTTTTCAAGGTTGAAATGTGAAATCTAGAGCTGTATGAAGGTTAAAAGGATCAAAAACAGGATATTCCTTTGAAACTAGGCTAAGGCATGACTGAAAATGAGAACTCTCCATTTACCTAACGTACGGGTATGATGAACATCGATCTTTTGTACACAACAAAAGTAAATAATTAGTTCTAGTATTCAGCATTTATGGCTTTTATTGAAACGTAAATTGAGATTTAATTTAATTACAAGCTTCATTTATATAAAGTGACATGCGATTACCTGTCTTTGTAACTGTACTTTCAAATCTAATCACGATAAGGCACAACTGTGACTTTATTGTACTTATCATATGTTTCCAACGAAAGATACGCGATACGTACACGTACTAACTAGAAGATTTAAAGTGAGAAATTTCATACTCACACATTTGGAACTACTTTACACACAGAATTTCCGTCGTTATCTAATGTAAATTTTAACGTTCCAGTGCGTTGTCCCAGCCAATCGCGTTTGATAGAATAGGTACCCGACGGTAACATATTAAAAGTAATCCAAATAACGTATATCAAGGGTCAACAGATAAGGCGAGTGTGTGACTTCATTTATTAGTTTTCTCGTAAGTACAGATTAATACAGACACATAATGGGTGTCACAAGTAAAATTTTGTTTTTTGTGATCGTTTTCGGATTACTTAACTGTGGGTTGTCAAAACCTCACCATAAAAGACACGCCAGAAGCTCACATCATGCCAATGATCCTAGTAAGAATCCCTACCAAGCACTACCAGGATATCCATCGCAATTTTATCCACCACCATTTTCATCCCCTTATGGGTATCAGCCCATGCAAATGCCGCCAGTGTACGCGCCCTATCCCAACCCGTACTACATGAACATGCAATACAATCCCTACATGCCGATGTATCAACCCTACCCAGCTTATTTTCCGAACCCATACGTCCAGCCATACCCCTATCAACACCAATTCCCAACTTACCCAGATCCTTTCGCGCATATTCCCGCAGAAATCATAGATGTTGACTCGGACTTCACGATTGAAAACCACAAACCCAAGGTCGAAGTGGAATCATCGCAGCACGTCGAGTTACCGGACTCCCTGCAACAACCCATTAAGACATCACAAGTGGTAACTACCAAACCTCTTCAAACTCTCATTACTAGAACATTTAACAAAAATTCCAAACCCGTCGTCAATATACAACAGTCGAATTTACAGGAGGAATCCGCCACCAAAGTTGAGGTGAAGTCGACTGACGAAACCGTCAAAGAATCTGGAAATAAATCAGAAGAAATAGAAAAGAAGAACGAAGATAAAAGCATCTTCAATCTCTTTGGATAAATTCGGCGCGTATAATAATTACCTTACTATTTAATAATTGTTGTAGAGGAATATAAATAAAGCTTTCAAACTGGCAGCTCGTTTTGCACTGAAGCAATTGAAAAGGTAAGTCTTAAAGCAAACCAAATTATGGCGATAACGTGAGATAACTCAATATATTCTCCTATACACACGCTGTTCATATTTAGTTTTGTTGCCGAAATGAAACCATTCTGGTTGGTACTGTACGGTGTGGCGCTAATTATTTACTGCGTTTCGAGCGAAAGTACAGAACAGCCTTGTCCGCCCCTGTTCTTTCGACTACCTAACGGAACGTGTTTCTCGGTCAGGAAGAATGTCATCACAGTACCGAGTAAGTGTCCGAATGGTCAGCAAGCAAATGCGAAGAACGAGTGCGTGCCACCCTTCGAATAAATATTAGCGAAATTCCTTAGGTAAGTTTATAACTTGATTGCCTACGATTACGCACGTTTTTTTGCGACGGGGTTTCGAAATGGGGAGCAAATATTTGCAGGTTGTAATGATAAGAATGTAAGAAGGTACTGGAGGCTGTTATTATGTTCTTTGCTCTATTGTAATTATGAAATACTTCCAAGTACGTTGTCTTTTGTGCATCTTGTGCATTTCAGTAGTATTGACCGAAATGTGCCTCGGTCAAAATTTAAGCACGGCTGTTGTGCCCAAACAGCCTGGGAGCAAAAAGAAAAGTGGCTCCTTTGATAACCGGCATATCGTTAGAGTGCCCTGTATTGCTGGATATGTTCGTGTTGGTTTACGATGTGTGAAGGAGTATTGATGAGGTGTGTTTAGCTATTTTTCAATTACGTTTGATGCCTTTGCGGCGCTTTTTTCTTATATTAGTACTAACATGCGGCCAATAAGCGTTTATAGTACTTTACAGCATTGCTTGTTAAATATGTTCAGGTAAAAGCAAATTTAGTTAGGGTGACCGCATCAGTTAACACGAATTGCAAGGTTATGATAATAAGTAGATATAATATTTGCATCTTAATGTACGCAATATCTGCTCGCTTTATTGGTCATGATAATAAATTCACGAAATTGCAAACCAACTTGGTTAGGCACATACCCTGACACGGGACTTGTTCTTGGTCAAAGACATATTTTGTTTATTGGCTTCTTCGAGATCCTCGCCAATTTAGACAGCAGTGATTTCTTTTTTGACTAGAAGAAAAGCCAAGCAAACAAAATTTTTATTCGGAATCAAAGTGGCAGGTCGTCCGTTGTCTCATATAAGGCCTATAACATTCTTCTAGCCACCTTCTTCTTTTTCTCCCTTCGTTTCTATTACGTTTGGTCCTACCTTCCTTACTTTTACTTCGTAGGCTAGCTAAGATGAAAAGGGGTTAAGAATAGGAAAGAATTCACCTGATCTTTCCTTCGATGATAACTCATTAATAATTAAAAATTGCAACGGTATACCAACGCCCCACAAAAAGAATATCCCAAAATGATGATAAAAGGAAAGAATGTTCATTATTATTCAGATTTCATTTTACTAAGCATACGTTTCCGTTTAACTGATCTCTTTCTGATACAAACTCATTTCTGCTCAACCAACCTGTTTCCATCGCTCAACCCAAAAACCGCTCAACCAACTTGTGCTGCTTCCGTCGAATCGAATGACCGGTGTTACCTACCTACTGTAACACTTTACGGCACTGATAGACTGACTGACAGACAGAGTGGCGCAAATTAAAAATATGAGACGTAGGGTTCCAAAATATAGGATGTTTAAAAAAGAACGCCTTCAAGGCACACAATTTGTTTTAGCAACTACATTTTTTTTTAGATTCAAAAAACCAAAGTTTCGGTCTGTTTCCCTTATTGAGCGGTATTAAATGAGAGTTGTAGGATCGGTGGGGATATTCAAGTAATATAAATTCAAATTTTTACAAATCACAGCACGCTTAAATGAAAGACTGCGCCGTAAGTGCTTTTAACACCTTTTTTCGATCAACATACGACCAGTTATCTGTACATTGATCTATAGTTACCTAACTGTTTCTACAGTATTTGGAATATTTACATTATTTACGTTTATGCTTTGGCCTAAGCCAAGAAAATTACAAGCAATGGTACTTGTATAAGTCCTTAAGAGATTTTAAAATACAATCAGCAGAAAAGACCATCTACGTGTATTAAGGGAATCAGAGTCTTTAAATGTTTAACTCTTTTACAAGCGTGTGAAAACTTTCAAGTACCGTTTAACGGTTCTAGAGTCTATAAAACCACTTAGAAGACACTTTCTAGAAGATTTTAAAACATACGCGTTCATCAGTCTTTAAGAAGCTTAAATACTAAGTACTTAATCTGTTCATTTAAAGTATTTAGGCATTTAAGACCTCTTAAAGGTATTCAAGAGCCTTCAAAAGTTTTCAAGTGTACCTTAGTGTCGACCAAAACGGTCTTCTTGGTGACTCTTGAAACTTTGAAGAATTGTAAAGACTAAGAGCTTTTTTTAGTCTTTAATAGCCTTAACGAAACATTAAAAGCACGTTTTGCGAATTTTTAAAAGTATTTCAAAGTGTTTAATAGGTTTTATCGGTTGATTAGCACAGACTTTTAATGGCCCTTAGAGCTTGTAACAGAGCTTTGAAAATCCTTAAGAATATTTACGAGCTTTTAACAATTTTCAAGATTAATATTAATAAACGATACGTGAAGACACTTTACGAGCTTTTATGATATATAATTATATTTATTAAGGAATGTTACGTGTACTGGTTTTCCCTATGTCTACTTTTAAATGATAAAATCTTTTCTGAGGGGCGCCTAAGTTTATGCAACCAAAATAACTTCTTAAAACAAATAAAGATCTTACTCTTACATTAATTGATTTGAATATGGTTGCTGAAACTAAGCAGAAATTTCTGGCGAGTGTTCTCCGTTATGATTCCGTAGTAACTCACACGATTTCACTTTCACTTTCAGATTTTCTGCAGTAGAAATTGATCATTATTAAAGAAGAATCAACCCGATTTTGCAATGTGCTTTATTATAACGAGAGCTGAAATAAATTTATTACGCCCCTTTTACAATGGAGCGTTGACTACTTCATCTTTACTTCTCCAGAAAAACACGAGGTTGCTTGTTTTTTTGCGGTAAGAAGGTCATCTCTCAAGTATTATGAAACAATTACGCACAAAAGATGGGTTTTACGACAATAAGTGCTAGCAGTTTTTCAATACAAATTTCTACCAATTATGTAGTATCATGTAATTTCTATTTAGATCCTTTCACTTTTGTCCATTAAAGACCAATTTAAACATTCCCTGTCGACATAGCTACATGCGTGACTAATTTCGCTTTACTCGGACCCACCTTTACATTACTGATAGTACTACCTGTCAAGATAACGTAAATTTTGTGTGATGAAAATATATTGTTTATTCTCTCTTATCACTGTTGGTTCACCGTTCGAATAATGCATTGAAAGTAAATAGAAAGGTTTGTTTTTACGCTCGTTCCGAAATGAAAACGGGATTCCTCTCCCTATTCCTGTGCCTGTCGTGTTTGTGTATTTTGTATAACGTGAAACAAGTGAAATGCGAATGGGTGACGTTCGGGGAATATTTCAGCCGATTTTTAATTCAAAAACCGGAACTGGCCGAAATTATTGGCGCCGAGTGTAGTAATAGAAAGAAGAAAAAGGACGAGGCTGGTATTTGCAGAACTGTTTACTAGTAATGTAAGTGGTAAAGAAAATTATTTGCACTTCAGTTTACACCTTTACGTTTTGAATAGGGCAAAAGCCTAGTGAAATTTTCCGTATCAGTACCCACTGGTGCCCAAGAGTAATTAAAAATTGCATTCTTCATCTTGCAGAGTATCTCATCTCATCTTGTATAACAGAATGGAAACAGCGATTCACACTTGCCGCTTAATTTGGTTTTATGGCACTTGAATTTGGGGTGTTGTCATCTTTTACCCAAATCATTTTCTTCTAGTAAGCATCACTTCTCCGGCATGAGGGTATGGTAAGGGGAGGTGTTACTATGTGATTAGCAGTCGCAATAGGCTTCTACATTTGTGGATTACGTTCCCATTATTGTAGAAAGGTGAGCACAAAAATATTACCCCATGTTCTCTGGATGGCAGGGGGTACTAGCTTCTACTACAAGAATGCCCGGTTACAATAAAATAACTCTCGGCCAAAAAAAACATGTAGACCTTGATTTCAAGGCCTAATAGCAGATAAAGGTCAGATTTACATGGACTTTGTATCAAATTAAAACCTTAAAATGCCTGTTTTTTTTTGTTTTTACTCTACAACTACTACTTACACATCTTCGATCTAAGACTTGCCTAAATCACCGTCACCAATTTATAGGCCATAATCCTGTGGCTTCTGTGCAAATTTCAATTGGACTTGGTTTGCTATCGAGCCTATTCGAATCTGTTGAACGATTATTTTATTATCAATGTTTTAAATCGAGCGATACGGTATGTCCCCGGAATGGTTGTATAATGGGAAACACTTTTTTTTTATTTACTTTTAGAGAAAAAACGTTTTTGCTAGTTCTAACATGGTTCCGTTTATACTTTTCAGACAGCTACCGTTTCAAAAAAAAGTATAAAAATGTGAAAATATGGTTGAAGTTCAAAGAGTCAAAATGCTTCTCTATGATAACAACCAGTGTTTATTAAAAAAAAGTAGCCTTATGGAGTTGTTGGTCGTTACCTGTTCCTAGTAATACTGAAAAGCAATTGAATTTATCAGGAGAGACAAACCACTGTGGAATTCTGGTGTTCAACATCTTGGAATTCATGGAATTCTTATGGAATTAGTGGAATTATTTTGGGATTTATGAAATTTTTATAGAATTCATGAAACTACTTTGGAATTCTACGTCTTTTTACGAGCTGTAGTTCAGTTTTCGACTTACTTTATATTAATGTTTCTATAAAATTACCTGGGATACATTCAGTATTACTTCTTATCGCTTGGTATGACTTGCACGGTACTAAATTCATCTCATCCACCACGAGATGCTATGCGGCCTGGTGATATTTTTAAAGCGCATTTGACCGGAAATGTATTAAAATCGTCGATGTTGTTAAATGAACCAATATACACATTTAAAGCAGGATTTTGTGCCTTTTTTATCGTTGCAAGGAAAGTATAAGAAATCTTCAGCAGTTTTAAAGGTAGCGAAATCAAATGATGCCATAAATACGTAAATACTTGTGATGATGATTTTTATTATTGAAAAAAAAGTCAGCTTCAAAAGTTTGTAAGGTTAGGCGGCGCAGTTACCGAAACCGAAAATGTGTTCGTGTGTTGCGTCAAACATTGCTATTAATTACTAAACAGATTCAATTGAATTTATTTTAAAGAACTAAGTCCTTTCGGGTTGTAAGCCGTAGATTTGGGGCATAAGATACCAGCTAAGAGATGAGAAGGGGACTCGAGCTGTTCTTTGGCATTTGTGGAAAACTTCTCAATTTATTAAAGTTAAGAAGACGGCGATTTTTGAAAAGGTTTCTCAGAATTTTGGAGATTACCAAGGAGATTTTGAAAAATCTTTATTACAAGTCGCGTAAACGGAATTAATAGCTTCTGGTAAATTCATAGAAATACTTATAAGATTTGTAACCATTTTTTATAACAGTGTCAAAAAGGTTTCCAAGGCGACTATAGAAGATTTTTGAGAATACTTCTTAAAAAAAGGCTAAAGGCCAAAAAAGTTTTCAAACTATTTATAAGGATCCTATCACCTATATAATGTTTCCAAAAGAGTGGTCAATGTTTTGCTTCCAGACTTCTAAGAAATTCAATAAGGCTGCTGAACAGGCTTTCAGGAAATTTTTGTTGTTGTTTGTTCAATGCCAACTGTCAAAACTATAATCAAAACAAAAGATTATCCAAATTAAGCCAGGATCTACTGGACCATTTTAAAAATACTATTGTTATTTTTTTTTCTATAACGGTCGCAGATACGAAAAAAAAATTGAGCCCAACAACACCCTGTAGATTCTTACTACCATGGGCATGGCCAGTGATGTACCTAAGCCCTTCAGCGTAACATATATTTCAAATTTGAGCGAAACATCTCAAAAACTACAGAGGAGATATAAAGAAACTGCAAAAATCTTGAAATTTTAACACCTTGTAGATCGGAAACGAAACGTTTGCAGACCTACCTTTATATGAGTCATAAAATAAACCAAAGCCCCTTCCGTATTTACATCATATTTAGGAACATCTTCCATAAAACGTACTGCGCACTCAATACAGTTTGATTAATAGTTGCTATATGAATGTATTTTTACTAAGTTATCATGTGAATTGACCGCAACGACAATTTGATATAAAACTGCGACCAATCCTTGTCCGTTTGACCCTTATCTTTTTGTGAACTGCTCATTACAGTGGTAACGATCGCATTTCCCTTTAAAATCATGGACATCAAAGTACTCTCATTGTTATTGGCATTAGTTTTAAGTATGCTTGTAGTAAAGGCCGATCTCAAACCGGTACAGTTTAAAGAATTTATGAAAAAGAAAGGCCCTGAATCGACTACTGAAGTGAATACGGCTAATATTATAAGTGTTCCGTGCAATGGCCGAAAAGTGAGGGTGAATGGAAAGTGCCGTCCTGCGTTTAACGGATTTTAAACTGGTAGGTAAAATTGTAGGCCATAGATTGATGAAGATTTGAATTTTAAACGCTGCTAGTCATAAAATCCGCCAGTGATTAAAGCTCTTGCGAAAATGTTGTAAGGATTAGTATTAGAGAAAATGGTTTCCAGAGGGGGCGTTGCAGTTGACAAGAAAATTGTGGATATTGTAATTTTGTTTTGTTTAATCCACTTTTAACGATATTAGTCTCAAAATAGGAAAAAATTCCACCATTCACTTCTTATTTCCATTTACGCGTAACTTAAGGGTAATTCTGTTTCTTTTGCTATTATTCAAGGATAACACATAGCAATTGGCGGAGTTTCATTTTGTTTAAAGACATTTTTGTTATTGTAACGTTTTCTCTACGAGCTATAGTAATATGGGACCTATGTTTCGTTTTTTTAGGGCCATCTTCAAGTTTATTTTTTGAAATACGTACTCGCATTGTTTATTTGATATTTATAAAGGGCTCGTCATCTGAAAATATTATATTAACTTTGCTCTACCACCCAAACGAAAATAAGGTGTCCATGAAACAAAAGCATGCATGTCAAAATGCTAGGCTTTCAGTTTCATCTAATTATATATTTTAATTATATATTATATATTTGTAGAAAGAAAAATGTAAAAAGGCCATATTTTATTACCATAAATCAACAACAAAAACAACTTATGCTACTCGTGTCCTACACATCCTGTTGAAACCAACAGTTTCCAACTTTTTTTGGCTGCCGTACATCGTTGTGTTGGTCATCATAAATGCTATTCAATAACAGTATGTACTTTTGTTACAGGCCATATAAAAAAATAAAGTTGATGAAGATTTCTCCGAAACGAAACGTTGTATTAAAAATCTCTCAAAGCTTTCTTGTAGAGCTCAAAAAGTGGCAATGAGAAAGTGTTTTTTTGTATATGTTCAAATAGAATCAGAAACAAATAAAAAGAAAATCGGCAAATTTCGGTTTTTCTGGCATATCCTCAAATTAAAAGAAAACTCAACGAAATTATTGCATAAATATCGATTTCAAAATCTCAAAATGTAGTAGAATTCATTTTTGGACTACCCAGAAAAATCCTGCGTACGTGCAATGATCCTTATGGTTCAGGTAATAAGACTGAAGACAAGATTTTCTTCGCTCAGACGCTCGAATGGAAAAAGCACACACTAAATCTTGAAAATTGTAGAGGAAGTTACGGCATGCACACACAGACCAATAGAGAAAGTGGTTCATGGTTGTAGTGTAAGCTAAAAACCTTTTGTAGAGGATTTGAGGCTTTACAAGCCTTCATGAAACTTCGAGTTTTTCTTCAATAAATCTCAAACAAAGCTTATTTGAGAGCGTTTTAAGACTCATCAAGAGAAATCTCTTGCTTTCTTGAGATTTTAGGCTCTTCAAAAACCTTTAAGGGTACCTATTTGAACTTAAAAGGCTTTATTAGAGTTTAGCAGCTGCTAAGGACACATATTCGCATTAGTGCCCTTTAGATTCTTCAACAAGCCTTTAACGTACCTTTTTAGTTTTTGATAGTCTTATATTTAAAATCCGAAGCTAAAACGCCTTTACTTTTCTCCAGTTTTAGGGAACCGCATTTACGGGTTTTTAAAGGTCTGTGAGAGTCTTTAAGTATCGCCAACAGTTTCTAAAGAAACCTAGAAACTCCATGCATCTTTTAGAGGCATACAGAGAGTTCAATTAGCTTTTTGTGCCGTTGAAAGCTCTTATGACCTTTTCAAATTTTTAATAAGTAAGTTTTGTTCAAAAGACCTTTAAAAACATTTAAGAACGTATAAGAACTGAGCTTTTAAAGAGTATTATGAGAACTTTAAGGGCCTGTGAGAATCGCCGATAATGTCAAAGAACCTCCAAATACGTTTGTGGGTTTCCAAAAGCTTTCTAGATTGCTTTAGTGTAGTGTGTAAAACTGTAATCCCTATACAACAATTAAACGGATTTTTATCTGCCGTCTGCTATCCCAAATTTTACTTTTTTATGGTTTGGTTACTGCAGACTTCTTCCCTTAATATTCTGAAACATTTTTCTCTTCTGAACTTGTTAGCAAACAAAGAACGCCAAATGGCCATATAACTGTGCATTGAAATTAATTCAAAAATGAAATACTTCCACATGCACCTTTATTTGCACATGAACTTTTTTTTACAATCAAATTTTTCATTTAACATTTTTTACCAAATAAACTCAGCAAGAAAATGAACCTTGAATTTGACAAATTGGTGTAGTACTGAAAGCGTGGAAAAAAACTCCTTAAAACAAATGTTAATTCTAAATCCGAACCTATTGATTTGGTTGAATCTTTAAGACTAACCAATTAAAGCTTTACGTTAGAGTTTATGCAAATTCCTTTTTCAATAATGATTGAATACTTAAACGGAAATAAATAAAACCTTGAACTAAAAATTTTCTCGTCCATGGAATGGGTTGAAGCCTTTAGCATCTAGCTATAGCCGCATAGTTATAATACAGATGCTATTAGATGTTTTTTTCAGGAAAATGTATTTGGAAACCCATCGGTATTATATACTATATAATATTATATTATATTTCTGGTTATAGATAATACTCTTGACTTGACTTGGTTACAATGGGATCGACTTCAGTTTTTGTGTGTTACTGGTAAATGGAAATTACTTTCTGAGAACATGATATGTGTACAGTGTACACCGCTCAGTTTACTGAACTTTCATAATAATAATAATGTCTTTTATTAAGTTACATACACACAATTAAGTAAAAAATAAACTAAATGACATATTTCAAAATTAAAGTAATGCAATTTAAGGGGCGAAGTTCAGTTAGTGTAGGCGACTGCCTCCAATTCTGCTCTTCCACTTAACCCAATCATTTAATAAATTATTACAGAAAAGAGTTAACACAATACACAATGGCACAATTTATGACTCAAATAATAATAATACTAAAAAAAAAAATAAAAACAATAAAATAAAAAAAAAATGTGTTGAAGCGTTAATATACTTCCTATGATGGTACTAATTAATGCAAATAGTTACATTGCCTGTCAAACATGGTCTGGCGAATTAATTTTTTAAATTTAGAGGTATTTAGTTTTTTAAGTAAGTTATCAATTGCGTTATTCGCTATACAGTAATTAAAGGATCTTTCATAGAACGATGTTTTATGGCAAGGTGGTTTAATTAACGAAACAAATTTAGAATTACTGCTAAATTCAATTTTATTGTATAGATAAAGTGGTGTTCTGGACGTGACAATTTTATGATATAAAACAACAGAATGTACATATCGCCGATTTCCCATATTCAACCAATTTAAGTCTTTTAATTTGTGGGATATGTGTTCATATTTTCTTATACCATAAATTAATCTCAAGCGAGAGTTTTGGATTTTTTGAATTCTATTTACGTCGGCCAAATCTAAACAAGGACCGTAAAGAGCGTCGCAGTAATTGAAATGTGATAGAACCAATGCCTCACACAGTATAGTTCTGACATGTTGACTCAGACTGAAACGATTACTGTTTAGTTAGACTGTTTAGTTAGAAAAAATCCTCTGTAAGCAGTTGCACAAAAAATACGATTATATTGATGTCTCCAAAAATGGAATCGATTTCACTAAGAAATATTGACAGATTTTTAGTTATAATTTCGGCACTTTCATTTACTTGTCGGTTTTTTTTAATACGTCACGAAATACAAAGCAAAGTTTTTCTTTAACGCATAATAATGAACTCGTTTGGTCAGCATCGATGGTAAAATAAAATACCTAGAGGGAGGTTCGCTCCTAAAAATGAAAAACCAGCGATTTGTTCAACTTCGTCACTTAAAAAATCGTAGACCATAACAAATTGTATTCATTGGAGGCCATTCTAATTTTTTTTGTTTAGGGTTTTCTTAGTACCACAATTATAGTTACTAGGGCATGACCTGTCGTGGCGAATGAAGAGCGTGATTGCTCTCCCTCATTGTTTACTAACATTCAAGAGATAACATTCCAAGAATCTTTTCAACATCCTTGTAGCTTATCCCTATCTCAACTAACAAAGAGGAAACCGCCAGCGGGTCACCGTTTGTGTAATCTTTTCTCAATAATTAAATAATTATAGAGCAACGTTTCAGTTTGTTACTATCAACGCGCCAGTGTCTATAATTATGGACGTTTCCATATCTGGTATACCCAATATGTTAGTGTACGTTTTAATTGGCCTATGGTTTTCGAACGTAAGTGCCCAACATGACTACTACCATCAGCCTTACCCTGATTTTCGACTAGCAGAAAACCACGAAGAGATCGTGCTACCACACATCATAAAGGCACCCTGCGTAAATGGTAGACGTAATGGTGTACGATGTAGGGAGGCTTTCATTGTTCAAGAAAGGTTGCGTCTCTTTGACAACTGTCTAAATAATTGTTAATCTAAGCCACTTACTAATTTTTCCTTTTGTTGCAGATCTTGAAATCCATGGATGCCGATGTGGAATCCGCGATATCCATAAGTCAGAATGTAGCATTTTAGTTAATAGTGACGTAGAAGTTGTAGAAATAATGGTCGATTTGAGATCTGACAGTAACTATAATTGTTAGTTTCTGTATCCTTCTCAATTCGACTATCAGTATTACATTATTATAATTGTAGAACAGGCATAACCAATGACAGTAATAGCTGGAATTAAATATACTTAATGTTTGAAAATATAAGGTAAATTATATATTTTGTATTGTACCATAGCGCGTTATGTTTATAACGGTAAAGTGGAGAGAAAGAGTGGAATGAAGCATTAGAAACATTAGGCAAATTAATAGGCATACATTCAAAATTTGAAAAAAATACATAGTTTTGCCATTTCCAGTGCTCATCTTTAACAAAATAAAAAAAATTTGATTGTGGATGGGTAACATGTGATCAAATGTCTAATCAGAAAAAAACCATGGTTTGTTTTGGACGGGTGCATTCAAATTACATTGATATTTTTCATTATATGAATTTATCTCAGCCTTCGAGGGTCGGACACGTTGGGCAATTGCTGCACAGAGGGCCAGATCCGTAACATCTGTTTTTACCGGTTCGACCCCTGAGCCTTCGGTTTCCTGTTATGAGGATCAGGCAGAACAACCGCAATTAGATGTAATGAATATTTTGGGAAATAAAAAGGCGGATCAAAATCTCAAAGGAGGCAGCATTCACACCGATTGAGTGACTAGGTGGATGGAAATCTTGCGTCTTATCGACAAAGACCGTGAAGAATTGCTAAACCAGTACCACGCGCCCCAAAATTGTTGTGAGATCTGCCCTCCAATTTTAACTAATCTGTCCACTGCCTTCAAGAGCGTTGCCAGAGAAAGGGAGGAAAGGACAGCTGCCCCCTTCTAGAAATTAAAAAATGTTGTAAAATACAAAGTAACCAAAGTCAAAGGTCAATTGACTTTATTGGTCGATAACTTCTTATTACAATTGTTCTGGTTATCGAGGTAAGACAGTACAAGAGTAAAACTTTATGGGTCTGCACTATACCTACATTTAATAATTTTTGTTATCCTTTAGATGTCAATTTGCCCCTCCCAGGGCCACCAGCTGGCGTCTGCTTTGCACACATTTGTGTCAATCCTTCCTCGACGCCTGAAAAATTCATAGAGATTTTTAGCGATGTCGCAAGGATCTTATGTAACTTGCAACACTACGAATCCTTACTCCGCAGAAGTTTAATTATAAATTACGTGAACGAATCCTTTAAGGAGGCAGTGGCTGAGGGTAATATTGACACCTACTTGTTTGGATCTGATTTGGAGAAACGCCTTCAAAACGCAAAGGTCATGGAACGGTCTAGATAAGATCTCAAGAAGAAGAAAAGTGACAATAAACCCTCCAAAGGTACAAAAAACCTCACATACAATTTGTGTTGAAGAAGACCCTAGATTTACAAGTCTCAGCAGCAGCATCGAGGCAGACATTAGTTCAAGAATCATCCAACGGAGATACAGAGGCCCCGTCGCAGGAATTACTTAACCCAATCTCGACTTGTATAGATGAAACTGTTTTATCTTGGATAAAGGGCTCTAAAACTCCTGGTGTTCAAATACAATTTCAACGGAAAATTCCTTCGGAACCTCGATGGTGGCATGGGGAAAAGTTGGCCATTAGGAAGCATATTGATGCTTTGTTACTTGCGGAAGGTGCTGTATCCAGAAGCACCCCTTGCAACGGACAATTCGTTTCAAGAATTTTCTTAGTTCCAAAAAAGGTTGTTCAACAGTCAACACGTTGTATCAAATTTAAGGAAATTAAATTTATTTGTTATCGCCGTAAAACGAGTACAAAAAGCAATGCATCTCAAAATCGAAGACATCAAGGTTGCTTTAAATTTATTATAAGATGATTTTTCATGGCCTCTCTGGATTTAAAAGAGGCCTGACACCTTGGTACCTGTTCACGTCGAAGTTTCCCTTTGAGGGGATCCTTTACCACTTTAACTGCCTTCCTTTTTGTCTTACTTCTGCCCCATATGTGTTTAGGAAATTAATCAAACCTGTTGTTTTTCATTTGAGGGCAAAATGTTTTTTATCATTCGTCTACAATACAATTTTTAGAAAAACCTGGATTTATTATTAACTTTGAAAATAGTGAATTGCAATTTGTAGATTTTTAGTTCTATTATTAAGTCTGGTAATGTCTTTCGAACTTCCTTCTGGTAAAAAAGCAAAAATAATCTTGGAATTAACACAATACCTAAGAGAGAAATGCAAAATCTAGGTTCTCAAGCTTCTCTCTAGTTGCATTAGCATGAGGTATGACTGGGTTTATAGTAAAGTTTTGAAAGTGGAGAGAGCCTTGGCACGTTTGGGTAGCTATGATAAAATCATGGTTCTCCCGTACAATGTAAGGGAACACCTTATTTGGTAGAAACATGTTTTATGTGCTTCCTTCAATTATATTAAACTACCAAAATTTTCTTTGGCAACTGGAGTTGCTTGCTGCCTTTCTGGGGTCACTAGGTCAATAGGATGGGCGGTACCCAAAGTAAGAATGGCGAGACTAGCTAAAGGAATCTGGCAATGGAGCGAAGCTAGAGGACTATGGATTAACGCTTTATATATTCCCTCACGATCTAATATTTGAGATATCGCTTCCTGTAGGTTACAACTTAGATTTTGTCCTTTTTAACATTAATCAAAACGCCAGGAAGAAACAAGAGACAACTGTTTTCACATCTTCCTTTTTATTGTGACAAAAATCTTCTCCTCACCTACCCTGTGTTGCGGTATAGTTGCTTTCAAATCAATGGCATCAGCGAAGATCGTGGAGAAACCTGTCTTACCGACTTTTTTTTTTAAATTTTAAATGTATGGCGCGTTATCATACAATTATGATTAAACTTCACTAAGGTACGTTTAATCATTTAAATTAACCAGCAAAGAAGTTTTTGTCCAGCAAATTGTGTTACACAAATATCATGCAACCATTACCCGGTTTAAATACAGGTTCGCGTATGGATTTGTATAAGAGCCTGTTGGTTAAAAACATACCTATCAAATAAAATAAAAATAACATTGTGGCAACAATGCCCGAACACTGCCCTAGAGTTTTTATAATCCGTTTAAAGGATACCTGTCGCCCATATTTGTAAGAAGTGAAAAAAATATACTCCACAAAGGACCCCTGAGGAACATTAGTGCGCAAAGAAAGTTAAAATCAAGATTGTGCACAAAATATTGAACTTAATACTACGAATATAGAAATGAAACTACGGGAAGATTAACAAATGTCATCCATATAATAGGTAAGCAATGAGAAGATAAATTTATTTATCTGTAAAGCAAGTAAATAAAACCGTTATATGCACACGACCAATAAGTAATTCCTTTGTCAACTGAAAAAAGGAGGTTAGTCACTACGATACTAAATCAAAATATCCTACCGGTGAATTATGAAGTTTTCCCTACATCCCCTATGAGTCCGTCTACCACCATTACATGGTACTTGTATTATGCTATTGCTCATTTGAATATGATTTAAATCAGACAGTGTCCGATTTATTGGCGATAAAGAGTCACTCTGGACCGCAGTGATTAACAAAACAGTACAACACACTAGACTGAGAAGCATTTTTAATTGAAAACTGATGAGGATCAAAGTGTACTGGAGCTAAATGCGCCTTTTAGGTTTATATAATGCTTTAGTACCGAGATGTTAACACACATGGTAGCGGGAAAAACCGCAATATCTGCAATAATATTAACACTTGATAAGCGGTCAACAGAATGTGAAACTTTAAATATCCAAACTTTGCTCTTGTTGTATTTACTATTTCATTAGTCTATTTATCTTAAGGCGTCTATGATATAAAACAAATTTTCTAAGCGGAGTATGTAAAGTTTATTTGGATACGTAGGTTTACCTTTAAAATTCAAAAAAAGAATAATTTTTCTCTATTTACCCTTGATTAGAATTTGTCATAAATGACTACTGGCTAATAAGGTTCCTATTAACCATAAATGCGTTTTGCTGCATTATCCGATAACAAATCCGTTAGTTTCATATCGAACAAGTTTAGAAGCTCACTGCGTCGAAAGTTGTATAAACCAAACATGCCATCGGGTTTACTAAGAAAAAGTACTACCAAATTTAGAGGAACCATCGCTGATTAAGATGGACAATGCTAATTTTCACAGTAGCTTACTGGAAAACCTTCCAAATTCATCCTGAAGCAAAACACAACTACAGACATGTCTACAGCTCAAAAAAGTTGAGTTCACAAGTGATGCATAAATAGTAGAAGTGCTGGAGATTGTTGGCAAGCTTTGTTTCCTTACATTCCATGCGGTATGGTTTGATCGTAGGAATACTTTTAGTTTTGAGACTAAAAATTTATTATTTTAGAAACAAACCCTATACGATATTTTTAACCAGTGCCAGTACCAGTAACTTTTGTTGAAGAAGTAACTGTTTAATAAAATCAATAACTCTGTCTATTATGTTTTCTAGTGAAAAAAAGTTTTACATGGTGGGATGTTTCATTGCATCCAACCCTTCTGTAATAGGAATTGGTCTTAATAAGCCCAAAAAATACAATTATATATAAAATTAAACCATAAAGTGTTACACAGCATTGAATGAATTTAAGATACAATTTGGAACATCAAGGACGTAGTAAAACAATCAGCATTGAATTCAGAGTAAAAGTGATTAAGGAATATGATTTCGGAATATCAGGGACCTATTTAAAAAAATGAAGTTGATGATGGTTCCGCAAAGACAAACCGTCGGATAGAAAAATTAACAACTTCACCTTAAAGCGCATTAAAAGTCGCAGAAGTGACATTGGTTTTTCTCTAGCGCCAGAAAAAAATAATTCGTAAAGTAGAAAAATCCGATTTTTTCAAAATATTTCAAAATCCAACAAATTTTTCCGGGCTTTCCAAACGCTACCTTTTTAAACCTTTCATTATGCAATTTTTCTTTCATTTAACCAAATTCGTTAATAATTTTTTTTATTTAAGAATATTTGATTTTTATTCGAAGACCATTTTAGATATATGGATGTAATTACAAACGCATAATTTGTCCGTGAAGGCAAAAGAGATGGTTTCCATTATACAATTTTAATTTCTCAATATTGAAATTTGTTTTTCTGAGCATCCTGTATGCACTTTTTGAAAAGTTGTTACATATTGCTTAGGAACGTATCTTATTATCATTGTATTATTTTTAAAAAGCATGGGCCTACCTTGATTAGATATAGCAAAAGGTATCTTTTATTTTGAATTGTTCAGCTTTATTTTTTGTTTATGAAGAGTAAACCTAAAACATCTATACCTATTAAAAAGTAGTAATGCATCTTATTTATTGGAAGAGAGATTTATTTTCGAAAGACAAGATGTTGAGGATATTACACGGCCCTTTTTCTGGATTCGTTTTTGCATCAGTTAGGAGATCCTACCATTAGCTACTAATTGCAATAGTGTTAGAATAATAGGTGTTGATGCTCACCGTTTTATAAGCCTCTTACTACATTCCTTTGTAGGACCAAAGTAATTGGCAATTTAACGGTAGCAGGTAGAAATGCGCTTAGTTTAAAACTCTACTTTTTCTATAACTTTTAGGTTCTACAGAAATTTGCATTTTTACTTTAAAGGCGACTCAGAAGCATAATTTATGGGTATCTTGGGAACAATTTGAAGGAAGCTCATTTATTTAGTATGTGGGCACGAATTTCAGAGATTTGGGTATAAATAAACAATTACAGTACAATTTCGCGGGCGAAAGTTCTTATTTTTGGCGTATAACACAGTCAGGTTAAATTGTTGGATGTTTAGCTCCATATCTGTTAGGTTGCAATCACGTAACATTTGTCATTTTTATTTTCAAGCTGAAAAAGGCAAACGTATGAGATTAGAAACTTAAACAAAGAATCGTCATGAAATTTTTATCAAAAGAAGGCAGTGACCTGAAGAAAATCCACGAAAGAACGGTGGCAGTGCATGGAAAAAATAGCGGATCTTATTTTCTACTAAAATGTTGATGCAAGCAGTTGAAATAGCACAGGAAATCTATTCATGATGAAGACGTCTGCAAGCACGAACTGACGAAATCATTAAGAAAGTGGAAGATTTGGTGTTGATTCATGACCGAGGAAAAATTGCGATTGTCGTTAAAGAAATGGGAATCTCGGAAAGGAGGGGTTTCAGAACTCTACATGAAGATTTGAACTCCCAAGGTGCTCAGTTCCAAGCAAAAACTGTATAGACGACAAATTTTCTAGCACAATTTGTTTGCCTGTTCGAGGTCCTCCAACGAAACAAGAGTACATTGCAGTGAGTGCAGTGTGCAAGATAAGAAGATAAGAATGGCTTCAATGAGATCGAGTTACAAGAACCAACCTTACAGATCCAGAGAAAAAATTAATGGTAAACCAGAGAAGTAAATTAGGTATCGAGAGGAAAGCATTTCACGCGCCTTGTTCAGGAAGTTAGGTAAGGAAATAGCACAGTTATCTTTTCATGACAGGAGAGCATAATCCTGTTACTTGCTATTTCCCCAGTGATAAATGATTTCGGCTACTAATTAAAACACCGATTATGATGCCCACGTTACGTAAACTTATTATTAAAAGTGTTCCAGTGTGTTTCCCATAGTCATTCATCTAACGAGATCGGCTCCGAAAACAGAAATGAAACTTCACATACTTGTGCTGTTCTTTCTAACGCTGATTGCAATTACCATTGCAAAAGCCGCCCCAAAAGTCACCCCAAAAAGCGCCCCAAAAGTTGACAATAAGTATACCAATCCCCATGCGAGTGATAATAAACACAATGCAGTTATTAGAGTGGATTGCCAGAAAGGATATGATAGAGTTAATGGAAGTTGCAGAAAGAAATTTGGTGAGCAATTTTTAAATAATAAAAAGTTTTTCCGACCGATTTGGTTCAAATTTTGGATTTAGGTAAAATGTTGCCAGTGTACATGTCTGTCAAAAAGTTTTTTTTTAAAATTTCTGGTTTGAGCTAGGAAGCTATTCTGTCAAGAATTTGGCAGATGGTGTCCTTTGCTCGCATTTCTCAATTGGCAAGTATGTATTTGTGATACCTTGTTTGTTGCAGGTGGACGCTGAGTTTTGAAAAAAAAACTGCTATTTTTTGGAATGGCTTTTTACCTAGTGCTTCTTCACTACTTAATTAAATACTTATGATAAACTAAAATGCATTTTATAATCAAGGCAACATGCGGTCAAGTACACCCATTGTGGTCCGCATATTTTAGGGATAACATTCCTAGAATTATACGTTCCCTCCCTCCATACTGTGCAAAAAAAGTTTATCTGCACTTACATATCCGTAGTTATTTTAAATTAATTAGCACCATTTACTGTCGAGTATGTACATAGCAAAGTGTTTACTGTTACTTTTCTGTGCAATAGTTGCTCTACAATTCTCAACTAGTGAAAGTTTCGTTAGAAGAGTTCGAATGGCAAACTTCGTCCATAATACAAATACCAATATAGTAAAGAATGCATGCCTGAAAGGGTATGTGCGGGTTCTGGGAAAATGTAGAAGAAAAGGTAGGTATGCGTACATTCCGTAAGACCGTAACTAACAGTTTTGTTCTTTATTTTTGAACGTATTACCAAAAGTACTGCTAGGGTTGAAAAGACGATAGCTAACTGACTAGGAAGTGCGCTATTATTGAGAACCTTCGCCTCTATCGTAAAGGTAAAATGGCGTAATCAATCAATCTGGATGGAAGTGGTAAAACGATATCTACGGAAATACGCGTTAATAAATTGCAGATATGATAAAGTGTATGATAACAAATAACAATGAGAGTTGCGGGTTATGTAATTAACTTAAATATCAATACAACATGGCACTAGTACCATTAAGATTGATGTCAATAATCTGTACTTACTGTAAAGTAAGATGTGCCAAAATGAATCTCTCTTGGTCGATGTTTCTTTCTTTAAAATGTCCGATTCTGAATCAAAATCAGTTTGTGCCTAAATGGTACAATACTTTTTTTATCGTACGCTCTGTTTTGGAGTGTTGTCTGCGGTCTACAGCTTATTGTTCGCTCACGCTAAAGCCGGAGAACGTTCACATTAGAACACTCTTCAATAGAATTTCTCGAAAAGTCCGATTGTATAATAATCAATACTTTATAATATCTTTTTGCGGCCATAAAGTGGCTCTTTATGGACGGCGGCCATAAACAAATGTCACGTGGTCGGTTGTCAAAATTTTATACATAACAAAATAAATACCTATAAATGCGAAACACCTGAAGAAACACCTACTTCGGGGAGTGCTTATTCGAGTAGTAATTGTTAATATTAATCACGCAATCCACATTGTTCTTTATAAAGAGTTGTCCACTCATTTGATGTCTTTCTTCGATTTCTTTATGATGAGATGAAGGACCCGCTCCACCTAGGATTTTCGTCGCTACGTTGACTTTTGTCATTTCCGACTCTTCGACGTAGCCTTCCGCGACACTAGCCGAGCGCCATCCTCCATGGCGCATGATGTCAGTCATACTTCCACCTGCATTTGCCAGAAGACTTGCAGAAGTTCTTCGAAAAGAATGGCCCGTGTAGGAAGAAGCATTTGTTAAATTCAAGAATTTAGCCACCACACTGGGAACACCACCAACTTTGTGAACCCCTACAGGTTGAACCGTGCACTTTCCATTCCGATAATTGATAAAAAATCTGTTG